CTTTTTGCATGGTCACACAAAGTCTTAGATTTCGGGTCATACGGAGAGTGTCAAACAAACCTTTTGGCGTAAACACACCTGTTGTGTCTCCAATTTCATTTCAGCTAGTTAAACAAAAAGTTTCCATTTACGTTGTATTTTTTAACATTAATTATGTTTATGAAATGGACAAAGTCCGACAATTACTTTAAGACATTTGTATCTCTAAAAAGAATGTATAAACATAAAAATGTCTTAAAATAATTGTCGGACTTTGTCCATTTCATAATGTGTGACGTAATTTGTTTACATTTGGATACACTTTGAGCAGATATGAATGTACGTGAGAGATTCATGGAAGATTGAAGTTTAAAAGCAGTAAAATCGACCTGGCTCACCGAACGATTATCTGTGGATCGATTAGTTAAGGCACGTCAGGCTATATGACGGTTCCGTATAGAATACAGGTTCGATTCCTGTTGGTGGACGCATATTTTCTATGAATATTTCTCGGATATTCAGGCCGGTAAATGTTGTTTAATACTGTTTATTATGAAACCGAGCATTTACTTAAATATTTGTATCTATAAAAAGAATGTATAAACATAAAACTGTCTTAAAATGATTGTCGGACTTTGTCCATTTCATATTGTGTGAAGTCATTTGGATACACTTTGAGCAGATATGAATGTACGTGAGAGATCCATGAAAGACTGCAGTTTAAAAGCAGGAAAACCGACTTTGCTAACCGGAGGATCCTCTGTGGCTCAATCGGTTAAGGCACGTCAGGCTATATGACGGTTCCGTATAGGATGCAGGTTTGATTCCTGTCGGAGGACGCATATTTTCTATGAATATTTCTCGGATATTCAGGCCTGTAAATACTGTTTATTATAAACAGAGGATTTACTTAAATATTTGTATCAATAAAAAGAAAGTGTAAACATAAAAATGTCTTAAAATAATTATATTCTTTTAGATTCGTTTTTATTCATTTATTTGTTTTTTTTGTTTTTTACGGCTTGTCAACCTTTTGCAGATTATTTAAATCTAGAAAATATTTTTTGATATTGAGTTTTTTTTTGTTTTTTTTTTAAATAATAACGATTTACTGATACCAGTCGTACTAACTACCTTATAGCTGCTGATGGAGAAGAGATGGAATCATACGTTTCCCAAAGGGTATTTACAACGCTTGGTATTCCGAAGCGGTCACCCATCGAGGTACTGACCAGGTTCAGTGTTTCTTAACTTCACTAATCGTACAACAATCAGTGTTTTAGAGCGATATGGCCGTCAGCGTTTTACATTCGGAATAAGAAATACATCTTGTTTACACTATTTACATACGAACTATTGTTCTCATCCTTGCTGTTTTTACAACACTTAGGCCGTTGTGTCCTCCGACATCACGGACCGACATTCACCTGATGAAAGGCAGAGAGAACAACGGTCGAAACGCTGTGAAAATAACAACAATGGCCGGGTCGATAAACGAATTGGTCGATAAGCGAGGAGATATACTAATACTAATATTACATATTTTCATGATATCAAGGATATCCAACACCTTCGATAATGCGGCACCACCGTAGGAACGGTGGTGCCGCATTATCGTAATAATAACGCATTTATCGCATTATCGCCTAATAACGTAATAAAGAAACGGTTTAAAAGAAACAATATATATATATATATATATATATATATATATATATATATATATATGTCCAATGGATTAAATGATATTTATGTTGGTCACACCACAAAATCGTTTTCACGACGCTTGACTCTACATTTGAATGATAACTCTATCATTTTTAGGCATTTAAAACAATATGCCTGGACACATACAGAATTCGGGAAAATCCTCGTTGAAAACACAACTATGCTTAAACATGAAAACAATAAACAAAAACTAAAAATTCTTGAAGATATATACATAAAACAGTTGATACCTAACCTGAATAAAATAAACGAAGGACAGAAATGACGTAATCATTTTTAGCTTTAAGTTAAACAGCTTATTTACCTTGGAATTTTTAAAGTAAGAAAACTTTCAGCAGTCTATTTTTTTTTTGTTTTTAGTATTTGAGCTTTCACATTACGTTTGTTCATACTTTCTAGAAAATTTTAAAATACTATAAAAAATTAAAATATAGCTGCTGAGTGAGATAAAATTTCATGAGAAAGGTACATAATAGGATAATTTTATGTATATTTATGAAATTTTCAGGTATTATATTTAGTTTTTTTTTTCCAAATTAATGTTTATCATTGTCAAAAGAAAATCCGCTATAATTTCCTTTTTTGTCTTTTGTTTGTTTATTGTTTTGCAGTCTCTCTGACGCAAAAGCAAACAAGATTTTTTTTTAGTTTTCTTTTTTAATCAAAAGTTAGTATGTTCTTAAAAGGATGGAAAAATTCAATAAAATAATTTTAAAAAATACATTGGGCTCTTAATAGTAACATTTTGACGATAAAATTTTGTTTTCAGGTTTAAGGCCATAGTTACTCTGCTATGCTCATTTTTTCAGCGATTTCATGAAGATATATACAGTGTCTTATATCATACATTACCTGTGGTGGTTCGTAGAGCAGGTCGTAAGTCCGGCTGGTCGATAAAAAAGGAAAAAACCCACATATATATATATATATATATATATATATATATATTATAATAAAAGCTCTGCTTCTGTATGGAGCACTCTCTTCTTAAAAATAAAAACAAAATACTAAGGAACTCCGTATTATGCACCCAACGTGTTCTTTTCTATTTTCTGCATACCTGCGTATTTTATATATATATATATATATATATATATATATATATATATATATATGTATATGAAAATTTCTCTGATTTAACCAGTAGAGAAGACAATATTTATGAATAATAATGACAATAGGAAAACTGGTAATTGCTGACGCGTTTCGTCCAATGTGGACTTTATCAAAAACTTAACAGTTTTCCTATTGTCATTTTTATTCATAAATATATATATATATGTTTGTATATAATGATGAAAGCCCGACCCTAAGAAATCATTGGTAATAATTTATTTCACGGGAATATAACCAATGGATATCTAAAGACTCCGCGTTCTTCATTATTATATTTGCTTTGTTCTTACATTGAGATCTCTTGCATTTATATCCTCTTTGAATTTAACACTATTAATTATCAAATAATATTATCTACCTATCTATCTATGCCAATCTATTCCTATCTATCTATTTTTAATCTCAGTCTGTTCGTAAATATCTATTTATCTATGTCACTAGTCCGTCCATATCTATCTATGTATGGATCTATACATATATATATATATATATATATATATATATATATATATATATATATATATATTGATAATATTAGTGGTTAATATACACATACATATATCTAAAATATATAAATGTATACACATACATACACATACATACATATATATATATATATATATATATATATATATATATATATATATATATATATATATATAATTCCAAGAGGATAGAATTTAGATTGAACTCAATGTCCAGGACAGAGTCGGGATATAATAAATAAACTTAAACACTAGTACTCCATATGATCCAGTTCATCAGACCTACAAATTCATGATGAATTGGATCGTATATACGATTCCAATGTAATAAATTATGACGATGGAGTACTAGTGTTTAAGCCATTTTATTATATATATATATATATATATATATATATATATATATATATATATATATATAAAGAAATATAGTTTTAAGGTGTGCTATATGTATGGGATAAAGTGCTCCATATCAGAGATAGAGCGTATGTAAATATAAATATAAAAGTGGACATTGAAGTCAACACTCAGAAGCGACAGGCTGTTTCATGCTGGACGCAATCGTCAGGCCGCGAATGCTGGATGTTTCTTCATCTATTTATCTATCTATCTATGTATCTGCGTCTCTTCATATTTATATATCTATTTTAGTCTGTTCATATCTATCTATCTATCTATCTATCTATCTATCTCAGTTTGTTTTTATCTATCTGTCTGTTGATATCTATCTATCTATTCCATTTTATTTCTATTTATCTCCGTCTGGTAATTAACTATCTATTTATCTATCTACCTATCTATCTCGCCCACTGCTAGTGCTACAAGAGATGGGAAGTTGTGGAGTACAATGATCACTCACAGCCTGAACAGGCACAAAGTATCTACGTATTTAGTTTACTATCTAGTAAGCTATCTACCACAGTCAGGCAGGCATTGCTAAATGCATTGCTGAAGCGATTGCCCAGCCATTGATGCGAACTAGGATTTGCGGTTAGAAGATTCGTAAAAATAAAAAAAAATACATGAATACAAAGCGAAAAATAAATTACCCCCATTAATTACCCATATACAAATTAATTACCCATATAGCAAATTAATTTCCCCTATACCAAAATAATCACCCATATACCAAATTAATTACCCATATACCAATTAATTACCCCTATACCAATTAATTACCCCTATACCAAAATAATCACCCATATACCAAATTAATTACCCATATACCAATTAATTAGCCATATACCAAATTAATTACCCATATACCAATTAATTACCCATATACCAATTAATTACCCATATAGCAAATTAATGACCCCTATACCAAAATAATCACCCATATACCAAATTAATTACCCATATACCAATTAATTACCCATATACCAAATTAATATACCAATTAATTACCCATATACCAATTAATTACCCATATACCAAATTAACTACCCATATACCAAACATGAAATGTGAAAATTGTAAGGAATAAGAGACAAATTTAATTTTTAAACTGGGAATGTCCTCAAATGTTTCAATTTGTCAATAAAAAACATGACTGAAATAGATAGATAGATAGATAGATAATGAAAATACTCAGATAGATAGATAGATAGATAGATAGATAGATAGATAGATAATGAAAATACTCAGATAGATAGATAGATAGATAGATAGATAGATAGGTAATGAAAATATTCAGAGGTATAGATAGATAGATAGATAGATAGATAGATAGATAGATAGATAGATAGATAGATAATGAAAATATTCAGATAGATAGATACATAGATAGATATATATGAATATACTAAAATAGATATATAAACATGAACTGACATAGATAGATAGATAGATAGATAGATAGATAGATAGATAGATAGAAAATAGATAATGAAAATACTCAGATAGATAGATAGATAGATAGATAGATAGATAGATAGATAGATAATGAAAATATTCAGATAGATAGATACATAGATAGATAGATAGATATGAATATACTAAAATAGATATATAAACATGAACTGACATAGATAGATAGATAGATAGATAGATAGATAGATAGATAGATAATGAAAAAAGTCTTTCTTCATCCACTCGTAATCTTTTCTGATTCTCTTTCGTTCTATCTTCCTGTTCTCTATGTCAATATCTCCTCTTTCTCTTTCGTTCTCCTTCTTTCTCTCTTTTTATTTCTCCTTCTTCCTCTTCCTTAACATTGGTAGAAAGAAGGAAAGAAAGAAAGAAAGAAAGAACTAAAGGAATGAAACAATTGCAAATGCAACAGACAACATATACGCCTTGGTGCACCTGTTAGTTTCCCGAAATTGAGAGCCAACGATGACGTTTCATATCCGAAGCGCAAATCAAGTTGTCTAATGGGATTATTAATTCGGGACTGGTGATCTTTGAATAATGGAATAGGAAATACGCATCTAATTAAGAACAAGAATTGAATTTTCGCGGCTAAAGCGAGAAATGTGATTAGCGAGAAGCGCGGGGAAGGCAGATGCAAACGAACGGTGGGCAGCGTGCGAGTCACGTGACCTGGCCGAACGGCCAATCGCATCGCGCAAATAGTTTCTAAGCGAAGGCAGCTGACAGTATCTGCGCGTCGAACTTGCTCAGATGAGTCTACTTCGATTTCTTTCTTGCTTTTTTTTTTCCTTTTTCTTTTTCCTTTTTCTTTTTCTTCTTGTCTTTTTCTTCTTTTTTGTTTTTGTTACTTTATTTCGGATCGATCGCATGTATTTTCTTTTTGTTTTTTTTTTTCTTTTTATTTTTTTTTTTTTTTGCTACACAGATAGAATCCCGGGCCATCATGGTAACCACTCCGATAAACTGCATTCGCTGGTTCCCAGACTTCATGAATTTAAGCATTCAACAAGGCTGGCATCTCCTTCACACCCTTTCACTGTCGAAACTGTTAAATGTAGCCGTCTCTTCTACTCCAATAGCTTCATGTCTCACACCTCTCGCCTGTGGAACTCCCTCCCCTCTTCCTGTTTCCCTGATAGCTATAATCGCCAACTTTTTAAATGTAACGTCAATCGACGTCTCCAGATGCCTTGATTTATCCCCTATCCTTCTCTTCATCCTTTCCTCTATAACTCCTCTTTGCTTTAGCTCCAACTCTCTGTAACCCCTTGCGTCCTAGTAGCTTCCCGTCCTGCTTGGGGGTGAAACGCTTAAAAAAAATATTGAACAGTCACACACTCTTTAATGTAACGTCTCCGTGGATACTCCACAACTTTTCCCTTTTAGCATTAAATAATGCTTGTCCGTTCAATATCCATCTCTGTTTATGTTATTCTTCCATAAAAGAGCTCATTATATTACTCTCTGCTTCCACCTACTCCTCTTCACTTTGGTATACCTTGTGGATGTCAAATTCTCCATGTCCACCTTCCTCACCCAGTTTAACCGAATTTACAAATATCTGTTTCTGATCGTAAGCAAAACTGACCTTTCTAGTTCGGAAGAGTCAGGAGTAAATCAGGAACTACACTTTAATCCTAAGTAGAAAAGCGTAACGCACGTGCACACTAACAATTAATATTAATATCGATTCTCAGTCAGATAGCGTAAATAACTCCAGCACAGAGGAGCAGGGAATCGAGCAGATACTACACTCTCATCCTAAGTAGAAAATCTTCAAATACGTACATACTAACAAGAAAAGTAATAGCATAGATTCTCGGACAGAAATCGTTAATCTTTCTAGCTTAGACGAAAGAGATGATTCAACAGATACTACACTCTGATCCTAAGTAGAAAAGCTTAACACTAGTACATAGTTACATGCAAATTAGTATAAATAGTTTGATTGATTCGTTTTCTAAGGTTTACAAATCCATTTCAGGCTATTTAGAGCTAGAAAATAGTTTTAGATGGTAAGAAATTTTTTAAAGATAATAATTGTTTAGCGAAACACATCTTACTAATTAACCCATAGGTAGGGGGAGAAGACGTGGATTGATACTTAATCAGAATTTGATAAACAAAAACATGTGTATATAAAGTCGGGGACGATTTTTATAATACAATCAATATATAATCTGATCCCTCACTTTGTGACCACAGTAGTAGTATTTATACATTTAGATTCCAGAGAATGTAAATAATTTTAAAAACTAGCCTGTGTAGCTAATCATTGATTCGTTTTCTATGGCTTATCGAACCTTTGCAGGTTAGAGAAAGTCAGAAAAAAATTTTAGATGATAAGAATTTATTTTTGGAGATAATAATGATTTAATGATACAAGTATTACTATTTAACCCATAGCTGGGGAGAGAAGAGTTAGATCCATACCTTTCTCAAGGTTATTTGCGCGTAAGTGAATATAACGAACCCAACTTGAATTGGAACTCAGCTCTCCAATTAGCAATTACTAGCCATTATCCATTACACCACCCGCACATCCAAGCTTACAGCATAATGGTATTCCGAAGCGGTCACCCATCTAGATACTGATTTGGCTCGACGTTGCTTAAATTCGTTGATCGTACGAGAACCGGTGTTTCAATGTGACGTGGCTGCAAAACCTCTATCTCAGAGGATTGAACAGATACAACACTCTGATCCAAGATAGAAAAGCTTGACAGATATACATTGTAGCACGCAAACTAATGGTATAGAGTTTCGCTCGGAAAGTACAACTGATACTACACACTGATCCCAAGCAGTAAAGTTTAGCCGTTAAACAAGCTAACAAGTAAATCTGGAAGGTGTGTAATTAACTTTCAGTTGATAAACACAGCGGTTACTAACAACTGATGTGTTCATTCATTTTCTAGCACACCTGGAGAATTATTCTGCATGCGCATATATATGAACATGATATAGGTTGCAGTTGGGAAGACCTGTGTCACGTTGAAGCCATATGAATCTGGCCAGGAAACCAGTTTATTGACAAACATCAAACCCCGCCAAATTTCCAGCCTCGTTGTGAATTCGGTAAAAGGTCTTCATTATCCGATCAGTCTGCGCGCGACATCCCGATTGCAAAAACTGCAACACCTGCTCTCGCATCTCCGATGGAAAAGAGGCAAGAAGAAGAAGAAGAAGAAGAAGAAGAAGAAAAAGAAGAAGAAGAAGAAGGAGGAGGAGGAGGAGGAGGAGTTCGAGAAGAAGAAGAAGAAGAAGAAGAAGATAAAGAAGATGGTGGCCTCGTTTTCAGTTAGTTCAACGCTAGACGCCTAATTGGTCTGCACTGGACAATCAACCACGGGGATGGCGTTCATCTTGGATACAGGATTGTGTGGCGTTCGGTCTGGTTATGGGTGGCGAGAACGTTAACTGAATGATAGAAAGGGGAGGGGGAAAATAGTCGGCCATGGTTAGATAAATAGAGGTTCGAATTCCAGAATTTGATGTGAGCGGGAAGAAAGATGAAACGTAAATAGTTATAACGAAGAGAAAAAATAATGATGATAGCTTTAAAAAAAAAAACAAAAAAACATTGGATTGAGAACAGATGGTTTGAAATAGCTACTGGGAGTCATATAGAAGTCGTTGACACTTCAGGATGTGGGTGATCATGGCTCTCCACAATTTCCTGATTTTTGTAGATCTCAGTATATTTTGCTCTTTGCTATCTCTCTTAATTCCTGCTGTAACAAACATTTACACAAATTTGTTAAGTAGGTTATCTACTGGTTTCTTCAGTCCGACTTGATCTCTATGAGTGTTAAATTTTCCAAGCCCCCTTTCCTCATTAAGCACCCTAGAATTTTCAACTCTCTCTCTCTCTCCTCTCTCTCTCTATATATACGAACATATATATATATATATTTAAAAACAATTATATATATATATATATATATGTGTGTGTGTGTGTGTGTAAATTTACAGAGCATTTATATTATAAATTAATTGATTTAAAATATGGTTTTTCGCTACACAGTTCTAACCATGTTTCAAAATGGAAGTTAAAAGCTTCAAATTTAATTTTGTAATTAAATTAAACACATTAGTTCCATTTCATCCTCAAGCGAATTTTGGAGTAACTTTTTAAATTACTGGGTTTTAAAGGCACAGCAAAAAAAAAAAAAACATAATTCACGTTTCCAAGGATACAGAGTAATCCATTCAACCAGACAAGGGGTGGTTGTGTGTTCATTATCGCTGTATTTTGATGTATCAGTTATTAGTTACGTTTTGGTACGGGTAAGGATGTATTTTTCAATGAATTCTGAGATCCGTTATGCATGTCATTATATATATATATATATATATATATATATATATATATATATATATATATATATATATATATACACATATATACACACATATATATATATATATATATATATATATATATATATATATATATATATATATATATAGAGAGAGAGAGAGAGAGAGAGAGAGAGAGAGAGAGAGCAGTGGTTAGCGGCTTGGATTGAGGAATCGCAGAGCCGAGTTCGAATTCCAGTCGAATCCACTGCATTCACTTACGTGCTAATACCCTTAGGAAAGGTATGTATCCTCTTCATCTCCCTCCAGCTATGGGTAAAATAGCAGGACAGACTGGGTTCTATAGCCTTGGATGGCAACCGGTCTAGGAGAAGGACAACTCTGAATTCAAAACCTGCGGAGGGTCGTTTGGGAACCTTGTGGCATGTATTCGTTGCACCAGGTTTCTGTATTCGTCCCTCCAAAAAGTGTGGCTGGTCCTGCACAAGGCCTTCACCACTATAAACAAATCTCATGGGAGAGTCGATTATTATATATATATATATATATATATATCCACAGAGCCCACCTGTGGTTTATACTGGATTTATACCGAGCAGACCTTAGTTACAGATTCTGAGGGAGAAAGCGTGTTATCTAACATGATCAGCGTGTTATCTAACATGAACAAGACCAGCACTTTCAAATCACTTTCATTAATAAAAACAAAAATTCAACACTCATTAATGTCAACTATGAACATGGACACAATATCTTGCCCGTGTTTTGAAAAGGAAACCTAACATAAAAAGATACATACAACAAACTATTTCTTGTTAAGAATTAATATATTTTATTTCCACCTTGAAAATGGCTAAATGTATAGCCGAAAGCGCTCGGATAAAAAATAACAATTTGACAGTTTTTAAATAATTTATCATCCGAAAAGAAAAAAAATTATTAGATCACCTGAGAAATTGTATGAAAACTAAATCAAATCAAAAGCACCCTGTCTGTTATATTCAATGAAATGTGCATATATATATATATATATATATATATATATATATATATATATATATACAAATGTAAAAGAACGAAGATTAAGGTTCCAGTGTTCAAAACAGTAATTTAAAAGAGGGCTAAATCCAAAAGTAGAGCCGTAAATATTTATTTATTATGCAGGTACCCACGTGTACCAAGTGTACATCTTGTTTCAACATTAAAAATCACAATGCCATTCGATGTTAGCGTTTAAGTGATTATATATTATGAACTTTATATATATATATATATATATATATATATATATATATATATATATATATATATATATATATATCATATTTTTAAAAAATAATTCTAATATATATATATATATATATGTGTGTGTGTGTGTCTGTGTGTCTGTGTGAGTGTGTATAGATAATTTATTTAGATAAAGAAGAAATAGTGAGGTAGCTAAAAATGTGACGCTTCTAAATAGGAGTCGATTGAGATAGAAAGTCAAATGATTGGTTTGAATTGATAAGCCGAGTGACAAATATCAAGACATGTGCTTTGGTAGTGGGACGAAATTTTCCCACCATTTTCTTTCTTTTTTTTTTTTATACTAAAGCCGAAAAGATTGAAACAAAAATAAAAAAAATAAAAAAGACTAGCAGATACGTGACAAAATGAGGTTTAGCCTATCATCTGTCTACAGCAGCATGTTCGCCGTTCCTCTGCGTAAAATCTCCGCTCTCCTGTAATGAAGTGAAAAAGAACACCCTTAAATGACAAATTGATGACAGAACTGACCGGGCATTCGTCAGTCGGCTGGCCGAGTCAAATCAGGCGAGAATCAGAAGGCCAAGAGTAATTGATCGATCTGACAGAATGGTGCCATCGTCTCGCTTTTTCTCGTCTTCAGTTACTTCTCGTTCATTTTATTATGGAATTCTTTTTCCTTTCGTGATCGGAATTTTACCCGTCATTCACTGACCTGAGATCTGTAAAGTACAAGGTCGAACAGATGGAAGCTGGACAGATAAAAGATAAAAAAAGAATAGATTGCGTTATTCATTGAATGTTCAAACTATAATCATGTTCATTGCTGTTTTTTATCTGACAGTTTGAAATGATTTGTTAATATTAAATTAATCCTTTCGACTGTCCTAATCTCGGTGCTTCTCTTCTTTTTTTTTCTTTTTTTTATCCGAGACTTTGCGATGAGATGTTAATATTCAAGGATACTTTACAGCTACCCGCTTTCTCGTTCTTGCTTTTGCCTAAGATTTGACGATGAGTTGTCAATATCCAATGAATTCTTTCAACAATACTCATCTTTGTTGTTCTCGCCTTAGGCTTTGAGATGAGTTGTTAATATTCAATGAATCTTTTCACTATACTCATCTTCCATTTTGTTTTTGTCTGAGATTCGCGATGAGTTGTTGCCAATATCCAACGAATCTTCCTAAAGAGATGACACAAAAATAAATGGCTACAATTTGCTAGCAAATAGAGAAAACGGATTCTTACAAGTGGAATAAAAATGTTTTTTGAATAAACGGATACAAATTTGAACTGTTAGCTTATAATCAAAGACAGTGAATAATGAGAAAAAATGAAGAGCGATACAATCCATAATGTGTTATGCCGCATATTAAACATGGCGGATGCATGTGTTACAATCTGGAGTTTCTTGCTCTGGTAAATGTTGGATATATCTGCTTGAACAATAGCATAATAGACAAACTAACTAATAGATAATAGAAAAACTAACCAAATTCAGATAAAGTATAGCAGATATTCTTTGAATTATCAAGAAAGATAATACTCCAAACGATTGTACTAATATATATATATATATATATATATATATATATATATATTTGAGCAGTATTTCCCTCTGTGGGTGGTGGGAAGAAACAGTTGGGATGAGGAAATAGGAACGGTTAGGAAATAGGATAGCATCAGTGTGTGTACGTCAATGTGACAAAAGTCATGAGCGATACGTTTCATATATATATATATATATATATATATATATATATATATATTGATGCATGTTTCATTGAATAATATACACAAGTTTTGTTTCTTTATTTTAAGTAAGTTCCTTTCATATAAGCTTAATAACATTATCATTGAAGGACGAAAGGAAATCACCATATTGATACATGTTTAAATCCAATCTAAGCTTTCGGCTTACATAACTTATTATCAAAGATGACAAGTTCTTTTCAATATATCAACCAATACACGGAACACTAATGATAGTCTGTTTTTGTTGCATGAAAATTTTCAAAGCAACAACTAGTGTATACGAGACGCGGAAGCGAAAATCATGTCGCAGCTCGTGAGATCACACATGACCA